GACTCATCCGCATGAATTTACATTAGTCATGCTACGTAATAAAAGAAAGCATGAAGAAATAACTGCTTCAATTGGTTTATAAAAAAAAGCGTCTTTATATTTTGTCGGTCTAGAAGTCCAATAAGCGGTAGGAAGATTAATTATGCAACAAAAATTGCTTTACTTAACCTATCTAATTTTTAAGAATACCATTAGTAAGAATACCGAAATAATACCGGTATTTTATTACGGTTTTCGGTAATATATCGGTTTCGGTACTATAACGGTAACGGTAAGACTCAATTTCGGTGCTATATCGGTTTCGGTATACAATCTCTAGTATAATACCGGTATTGAAATCATACCGGTATTAAGTCCCTGGCTACAAGACAGCCCGATGCGTACCTATTTGCTCTGATCTTTGTTAATTAAGATCTCGGTAACCATTGCGAATCTAGCAAAACGGCGTAGGACTTTTTGATTCAGTTTTACTCCTTCTATTTGTTCACGAGAGATGTTACACCAATTCTGGGACACCCTGTGTACGATATAGTATTAAGTTACTTGTGTACTGGAAAATAATATTTTCTTTTGCTCTGGTTACATAGCAATGTTTCCACTTTGATCGTAACTGTATATATATTTCGCACACACGTTCACGTACGAAGCATCGAATGCGCGCATCTTCGTAGAGAGACATTTGCACGTTTATTCTGTTCAAACAAACGTCGTCAACCGCGCTGTTTATGTCGTACATGCAAATCGAAAGATCTTTGCAGCAACCTGCTAATGGCACAACGACGTACAGAATGAAATGTAAATGCAACCCCCTCATCCGTTTATAGTAGAGAGCGCAACAACAATATTAGCCGTATAGTCGTTTTTACATTTCTTTAGAGAGAAAGCAATTTGCAAAACATTTCCATGCACAATATGCATAATTTTAGGCTATTCTAATCTTCGTTGAATTCTCCGCGAGCATAAAAAGTACTCTTTCTCTGATATTGTGAAATATATTTTCATTTAATGTGAGAAAAGTTTTAATAAAAGTTATTTTAATATTTATAGATATAACGTATAACAGGTGTTTCGTAAAAAATCAGGATTTTTCATAAACGCGCGAGATTCCGTGCTGATGCTCTTATTTAGTTTATTTACGTGATTTCGTAATCGTGTTCGGCAACGATGATGACCCTCGGCAAAATGATCAATTTCGAAAAGCCGCACCACACGCATTGTGCGCCGAGTCTCGACATCGGTCTGGACATACACGCGTAATAATTTACGCTATATAATATATAGATATAGCGACGCGGCATAAACACGAAAGTCGAAATTTGTGACGTTTCTGATGTGTTTCGCTTCACGGCAGCTCGAGCTCGAGGCAAAATTGCGGTATAATAGCAAACCTCTGCAGTCTGATCGCGTCTATGAATTATGTCATCTATTCGATCGATTATGCACATCCCGCCCGTGCAAGTGACACGTTATTATCCATTGTATGTTGTTAATCATGTGTTCGCTAGGTATAAACCGCTTCAATGTTTACTTAATTTTTTGTTTATTAAATTTTTAGCCCAGAGCACATATAAAAAATAAATATAACGCATTATCTATATTAGATAAAAATCGAAGTCCTGTGTTTGCGCATGTGCGCGTTAAACACACGTGATGTAAACTAAACTATAATTCGGTGGAAGAGTAATTCTCGATTTGTCGTAATAAAAGTTTATAATTTTGATGAGTACGTAAAAGTGTTTTTTATTTTTTATTTTTTATTTTTTTTATTTTTTTATTTTGTATCATTGCGCGGAGTGCAAATTGTTCTCGTGAAATATTAGGCCGCCGAGAGATGTAAATTACCGCCGCGTGCGCGCGCGACTATTTCCGAGTTAACAATAATATCCTTCTGACGGATGTATGCAAATCTTCATTGTTTATGCACGCATTCATGATCTCATTGTGCCTGCTGTTCAAATTATTATCCAATTTTATCCATCTTCGGTGCGGAAAAGAGCGCGCTTTCAAATTTATCCGGTAATGAAAATTTCGCGAATACGATTACAAAGCTGACAATAATCAGAAAATAATCCGTCCGCATCCGCGTTTTCTCTCGTCGAATGTCGCTTGGAAATAAACACGCTTGCGAATTGTTTCCTTCTTGCCAGCCAGATTTTATAATTGCAAATTGATTCACATCACGTCACTGTCGAAATAAACAGAAGAAGAAAACGAGCGCGTGTGCTCGCGGGATTAGCGCGAAAATTACTCTCGACTTATATATATATCCAACTCGCAAACGCAATATTCTCTTGCGTCAAGAGCGGAAATAATTATGCTCGCTGTATTGTGTTAAAAAAAAAAAAGAGAAACAACCGAACAAAAATTGCTGTTAATAAGAGCACGTCAAGTGGAATGTAAATGCGGCGGGACGTTTTTTTATACGTCAAATGTATAAAAATGCGTTGCTGGCGGATTGCGACAATAGGAGTAAGTAAAATGCGCAAATGTAGATCATTTGCTTTGCGAGTCTCCGAGGAAAGTATAATCGCGGCACGGGGTGTATTATCGTGGTTGAAAAATCGCTCGCACCGCATGGTGCCAGACATGGCAGTCTGCGATTAGGGTGGTTGTGAATGTATGATAATTCTCCTCGTTACGTTCTACTTGGCAAATGAACTACGGTTTTTTGTTTTATATATCGCAAAAATCTAAGTGTAGCCGACATTACCCGGTAATTATTTTCTATGCGCAATTTTTGTGTGATATATATATATATATGTTACAGCACACATCAATCACGTGCGAGAAACCGCCGGAGTGGATCACGTCGGTATAGGTGCCGGTTACGACGGGATCAATTTGTAAGTATATATATATATATATATCATTTGACACTCTCTTATAACTTAAATAAATAAAAAATTTAATTATATAATATATTAACCGCGCGCGCGCGCGACAAATATGTTATGTATCGATAAATAAAATGATGGATTAAAAGCGAGAGAGAGAAACACATATATATATATACGTGTGTATAAATAAATTGAACAGAGAAGCAATTGTTTTGTATTTTATAAATGCGTTTATCAATTATAACGTGGTTTATGCGAGAATGACAATCAAAAGATTAAAGGATAGAAACGCTAATCTCTCTTTCGCGTTGAAATATTTTAATTTTAACTACAGATAACCTGTGCGCTTTGTGTTCGCATTAAAACGGAAACCTTGCGCGGATTTTCTCTGCCAAGTGGAAACAACGCGAATTCGTAAGCGGGCTTCCCCCTCGCGGCGTTACCAATTCTGTCGAGCTGATTGCGAACATAGTATAGTATATATATATATATATATATATACGTGCAAACGTGTAGAGAAGTTTTCGGCTGCTTTTGGATGTAGGTCGGGTTGTAAATCAATACGTGCAGAGCTACCGATCATTTGCGAGAGATTCGGAGACAGTTAAAGTCTCCTCTGTGTGAAATTTATGAGGATGAGCACAGATTACCGGTTCGATTCCGAATGACTATCAAACTGCCGCGCGCGGTACATTTCACACTCGCGGTTTCGACAGTTGTGCGGAGAAAATAATGTACGGAGAAAAATGTTTAGTCAAGACGACTTTATAAATATTGTCGGAGCTCGTCGTTTTACAAACGTTGAGAAAGAGAGAGAGAGAGAAAGAGAGAGAGAGAGAGAGAGAGAGAGAAATTACTGCGGCGGGATGCATCTTTAAAGAACTTCCTCGTACATAAAGTGGTTCTCGCGAGATACTCGATGGTATTCAGCCGTTTGTTACCGAACGGCCTTCCATTATCCCTGCCTTTGTTACGCTTTTCACACAGTTTGTTCAGCGCGGAGAAACCCGCGGAGTTCTTCTTTACTGCGATAACTCGAGGCGAAGGTACCGGAGTTCGCTAAGTGGACGTGGGAATCGGGTAAACACACGAGCATCGACCAACCCCTTTTGTTAAAAATGCCGACCTCTTTGTAGAACGCGGCCCGCTATTGCGGCCCCTGCCATTAAGCTTCGCGAAAAAATTGACAGAGCATAAAGAAGAGAATGAGAGAAAGTGGGGATGGGAAGAGAGAGAGAGAGAGAGAGAGAGAGAGAAGAAAAATGGAAAAAGACGAGAGAGAGAGAGAGAGACGAGAAGAGAAACAGCTCTAACCGCAAGTAAATTGAGAATGGTAGGGAACCTGACTAAAAAGTTGTTGAGTTCCCGGGATCCGTATGAAAAACACACGTGGTTGCGCCTGGTGTATATGGTAGAGGATTGAAAAACAGCGTGGATGCATCGAAGCGTGATTTTGCGGACCAAACGATAAAGAAGAAAAACGACGTAAAAGGCACGCTTTGCTGATCGAACCATCGCGATATATGGCTTTTTCTCGTATTTTTGTTCGGCGACAATATCGAATACAAATATGTAGCATCAGAAAAGTAAATACGTATACGGCGTATATACACCGGGAGTACTGTGAATAATTACATGCGCTTGCGGCATGAGTTTTTGTTTCTCTCCTCTCTGTGGTTAAAGCAGGATAGAAGATGAATGTAAATTTAGAAGTGAAATTTTTTTAATACCGAAGTGTTTATAATTAATAACACAAAATTTTTTGCGCGCAAAAATTGACAAATTTACACGCGTTTTTTTTTTTTTTTTTTTTACACATTGCACACACGCGTATTATATTGTCATTTAGTTTTCAGCGATTATTGTTTTGGTCAGATCGTGAAAATTATCTCGGAGAAACGCATCAGAAGATGTTTAAAATTCATTTAAGTAAGTGTATATAAATCATTAATTACACGGTAACACAGAATTGAAAATTTTATCCGCACAATTATTGTATTTTCACATCACATACATATTTTTACGAGTTATTTTCATTTCATTTTTTTTTTTTTTTCCCCTCGTGAGAGAGTATTCGATTATCGCGGCATTAATAATGAAAAACTCGATATATCCTATCGTATTTTAAATCAACGTAATTTTTACGTGTAGCTATCTGCGCATCAATTTCCGATATTATCGGCGAAATTGTGCCAGATAGAAGAAAATTTCCAACAAAAAAAAAAAACACCAGCCAAAAAATGAAAGTAATTTGTAACGACTCGATTCGGTCAACTGATGATGTAGAATCAAAATTTTGTGTTTACTAAATTTGCGATAAAGCGAGTATCACTATTTTATGCGACAAAATACTTAAAAATTTTTTTTAAACCTTTACGCGACGCGATATATATATATTGTACACTTAAGGTACTTAAAACTCATCGGCTTTAAACGCGAAACAATTTACACGCGCTTCATATCGTCCTATTTAAACTCAATTTATATATTTGCGGTAAGAGACCAATCAAACTCCGAATCACACATTCAATTATCAACAAATTAAATTTGATATTGTAAACATAACACGTTTGATACATACAATATATTGCGCATTTTGTATTTTTTTTTTTTTTTTCTGATATTCGCACAAAGAATATTCTCCGAGCTCATTTTTAAGCATTTCACAGCTTCTTCACGAACTCCGAGATTTCTGAATGCAATGAGTTCGCGAAGAACGACACGAATGACAGAGGTGTAGTTTGGGTGACGTTATACGCGAACGGCTGGAATTTCGAGAGAAAGAGTAAAAGAAAGAGTGAGAGAGAGAGGAGAGAGAGAAGAGAGAGATGTCGCATCGGAATGAAAACAATGCTCGTTTTCTTCGTGTTCTATTCTCGACTTTTCGCGCGCCACGAGAAAGAAAGAGGATGTTTAATATCTACCGCGGCAACTCGCGGGTGTAAAGTTACGGTCGTGCTAGAAAGCAATCTGAAACAGAGCTACCAATTTTCCCTTCGTAACATATTCGGGTGCTTGGCGGTTGGAAAAAGATTACACCATAAAAAAAAGACAAGACATGAGAGATGTTGCAAAAAAAAAAAAAAAATTTTCTATATATTCTCTCATTTATTATTTTCTCTACTTCGAACCCTTACGTGCTTTCCTTTCACAATGAACACGAATTGTAAATGAAACCTCCGGAAACGTTGGTGCTATGTGAAACTTTTTTTTTTTTTTTTTTTTTTTTTATTCCCGACGAGAACGGAAAACGCGAA